TTATCATCTTACTTTGTTTTGTCATTTTTTCTGTCTGTACGTGACAAACTAGATAAAACAAATTTAATCGTTCAAAACACCAGAATATATAGAATATTGACATGCCATACAATCATCATCTTTGAGGATGGATCCAACTTTCTCGTCATATATATATATTTCAACACTCCTACCCACCCAATTGTGTTTCACAAATGGTTTGGTTTTTCACTTCCTGCTGGGTATTAAAATTAATCATGACATGACCGATCATTAATGAGATCTAGGCTTTTGAAGTCTTGTTCGATCTAATTGCCACAAATGCGTGAAGAGAATTGTCAATACAAACCTACTGACGAAAGTCTAATAATTAATCGTCACACTCGAGTTATATGTCGTCATCCAACGTAAATCTCATCATATCAACTAGTCGTTCATTTCTGATTTATTGTTCTTGCTTTCAAAGTGATATAACTAGATAGAGCGAGAAAAAAAACTGAATATTGTTCGACAATGCGTTTCGTCAATTTTCAAGTCATTGAAAAAAAAATTCAGTTGTCCTTTCTCGTGATGACACAAATAATTAATCATATCAGACGGTATTCAATGAAAAACTTTCGACATTGTATTGAAACGATATTGATGTCATTGGTATACTGTTTGCTATCTCTGTTGCTTTTCTTTTCTCGACACACATGCTCGTTTCACTGCATCATGTTTTGTTGGTTGTCTTTTGCGTTCTTCCAACGTCAAGATAGTTGTTTTTTTACTCAAGTGGAGAAAAGAAGACAAGACAAGACATTTTGCTTATATGCGGTTTATTTAGCCTTCTACCCGTGATAGAGTCTAAATGGGCATAGTGCTGATACATGTAACTTATGAAGAAAGAAAGCAATCAAAGCAAAGCACAAACATAAAACACAGAGACAGTGAGCAAAGATAAGGTAAGTCATGAGTAATGGCTTGCAGAGCCGAATCACTTTGGTATGAAAGCAGAATGTATAGATCATCGACAAACAAGTAGCTTGAGACGTGTAGAACAGAACAGAATTATACGAGCATGGTGCTGCGAGAGAAAAGACTTGAACATGTTGCTATTCCGCGATTTCTCCCTGAAGACGAGACATTTTCTTTTCTTATTCAAAGAATTAATTCACACCAGTATGTAAAAATAAATTGTATAGACAGGATAAAGAATAAGTAAATTTTATGACAAAGAAATGACTATGTTTGACCAAAAATGTCCAATTTTAGAATTCAATGCGTCGAATCATATCTTTTAGGTACTATTCTGAATCACACAAAAACAAATCTTGACTAGATGAAGAAAAACAATTCCAATAACCGATGTTATTATAGCTTCTTCCAATCAAATTCTTTCGTTTCTCTTGGTTTTCTCAAATCATTTCCCTCTAACTGAATGAACACATTGCGCAAATGTTTCCACAGGCGATGAGTTCAATCGACATCTTTTGCAAAAAGTCAACATACAAACACATAACTTTCGATCATAAAAACATCTATCGAATAGGATTAAACAAATAATTGACACTTACAGTGTCGTCATTAGTATTCAAAATGAACACTTTTGAACAGAATCACCTGATGATACACGTGAAAATTGAAACCAGAATTTTCCTTTTCCTATTCATTTTCGGGACAGATTTCTATAATGCACGCTCGATTTACCAGATTACAAGGGTGAGAACTTTGAAATGACATTGGATTGTATTTTGATCTTTAGATTTACCCTTAGAAAGAGTATCAGCAGAAGAATCCTAGAGATATAAAAATCTAAAAAACTAATTTCTAATGTTGGACTCTACTCAAACTATGATCTTCTCATGAGCATGTGAAGATTGTAACTGATTCTTGGAGAGTCAATACTAGAAGGTGCCTTATTCATTGTCTAGAATGATCCGCAAAGAATCCTCTATATATCAAAGTGAAATACCTCGAACTAACCATTAACAAAAGAATGGTCATACGGTTCGCTCAATTTCCGCATGACATTGATTGATCTCATAATTTATATGTCTAGACAACGTCATCATGTTACTCAACTGAGCAAAAAACTTGCTCTCAATCGACTTTTTCCATATCCAGAAAAATGATTATCACAATGGAAAGAGTTTATGTTCGATGGCACCTGGTCATCTCAACCATATTCAACACTTATTTAGAAGAGAAAACACTTCATTCACTTAAAAAAAATGTCTTTTCTAGAATTATGATTTAGTGAGGATTTTAATAAGCTTCCAGAGGCGACACACAGTCACAACATCTCAAGTTAGTCCATATGGGAGAAGAACCATGGTATTGACAGTATGTCGTCTTTTGTTTAGCACTGATCATGAGTCAACAGATTTTCGATCTCTTATTGACTTTGTAACACTTGATCACGTTTTGTTGCGATTAACGAGACAAATTTTTAATGAATTTCATCAATCGAATACCAGAAACATTCTTTGTTCTACAGACTTTGCAAGAAATTTTGAAAAGTTCGACTATGTATTCTATTGGATATTTCTTTGAGAAAACGTTGATTCATTTCTAGATCGATCGTTCAAAGACCAAGGAGACAGACTGGCCACACAACACATATGCCTAGCTGAAGGATCAAATTTGATCTTTCCGGAAAAAAGTTTATTGAAAGTGCAAATGCTGGCAAGAAACTCATCATTGTTTCATTTCAGTGTCATTCTCCAGTTAAGTACTGAGCATACTTATCATGCTTGACCGGTACTAAATGTGTAACAAGACCATTAATATGGCGATGTGAGAGTCGCTTGCAGTCAAATCTGAATGATTAGCGGGAAGATATGCTTGCCTGATTGCAAGAGTTTTTCTTAGTAGAAGAATGCTTCGGAGTAGTTTCCTATAATTTTATGCTATGAACATATATTATTGTATAAAACAACAACATGCTGCTGGATAATTCCATGGGATCTGTATCATGTTTACGGTCACTATCTTGAATTTCGATGAAAGTTTCAGCGTCTGTAGATATTGATGTTCTGGTTATGTTTCTGTTCTCTATATTTCGTTTTGAGCACGGTTTCAAAAAGATTTTCGCCGTCCAGTCGGATGGTTAAGTAGAAGAATGATACTTTTGCATAATATCGATCTAATCTGCATAAATCAATTTGTTGACGGATGAAGCGATAATGAAACCCACGTGATTATAAACTGGAAGGTACTTTCGATAAACAATACTTTGCGTATTGTCAAAAGTGAAAACCAATCTTCAGTACCTGAGAATATGGCTGTAGATATTTTCATTGGATGAACAGAATATGCAGGTGGTACTGTTTGATTTTCTAGTGAACCATAATCATAAACTTGAAAAACATTGGTTTGAACACCCTGCGCAAATTGGATCATAGTCGTTACGTAGGTTTCAGCAGGTATATGTGCTACATAGACTAGAATTCGTGTGGCATTCAAATTTTTCTTGTGTGGATCGACAAGTAGGAAAAAGACGTTTTCACACAGGACTTTGTCAATAATCGCTTCATTGCAAGTAATACTTTGTAGTCAATCTCGGATTGGAGACGAAGAAAAAAATTCATTCCGCCCAAATAACATATATGCCAAAATTTCTTCAGGTCTTTCAGAAACTGCCATTATTTGTAGAACACTATCCGGATGACTGAACTCGGCAAATCTGATCATGATGCCTTGTGAATGACCGACATAAGTTTTTTGTGTGTCTTTCGTCATATTCAGAATGTATAAAATCATCGATGGCAGATCAATACTTGCCATTTCATCTTAGCTGCAGCACCAGAACTCTTCATCATGATCAGGATTGTATTTGACATGAGCACACAAATAGCGATTGCTACATATATTGCCCAATCACACATCATATCCAGCATCAACGAGGAGGAACGGTTCCAATTAACACAATGTCAATGATGGTAGCAGAGATGCAATTCCTAGAACAAAAGCAGAAAATGCGATTATAACTATTGCTCAAGGCAATCATCTCAAACATACTGATCGAACATTTTTGTCTCAAATGTTGCTTTCTGGCTATCTTCAAACATATACCAGACATAGGCATTAGTGTTACCTTCGACTTTTATTTACCTCGAGATGTGAACAAAATATCAGAGAAGAGTGAAACAATACGCGATAACAATAATCATATGACCTTCACCGAGTTATTTGACAACGTTGCAATTTTCTTCATACTCATTTGTTATCATGTAAAGATTGAAATTCAATGTTTGTTGTCGTGTTATTTTTGAATGATTCAAAATAGAAACTATTTGCAGTGTTTTGCTCCATTCTTTTTCTTTAACCATCGATATGCAGTCCATACTGATCCGGAATTATGTTCAGACATGGCACGGTAGAGAATATGAGTACTATATTCGCTGATCACTCTTACTTGATTTCGCATTAATCGTCAATGATTACGTTCATCTTTTAGTAACCATAAAAAATCAATTGGTTGAGGTGTCCTCGAACACATCATCGTGCCTCTTGGCTTCAGATATGCATTGTGACGCTTCACTAAAATGGGATTGTGTACGAATTTTCGTTTTGATAAACTTCATTCTCGTTGAACTCATTCCTCTCAAATGCCATTGTTTTTTCGTTGAAATCGACATTTAGCCGTGCTTATTAAAAACAATCGTCGGTTCACATGGTTTTCTTTTTTTATGCCAGCTTTTTATTATTTTTCCTATCAAATTCGTTTTGTATCTCGTGAAAATATTGATTTCATTGCAAAAAAGACGGCTTTTATCAGCTACAGCATATTTTGTTAGATGGCACTGCAATTATTTTTATTAGTATTATTCTTTGATTAATGAATATTTTTGTGGATGTGGGTGAAATTACCATAAACAGACACTCACACCTACCCACATCCATCCATCACAGCATATCCACCACTATTTTTTGTATGACCTAAGTAATTCACTTCAACTTATCAATCTCAGAGTAACTTAGTGTTTGCATGTTTTTAAAAAGTTGTAAAAACGTTAAAAAACTCAAGAACTTTCTCGTCATTGTCTCTTTTCTAATCGGATCCAACAGTTTTGTGGTGTTATAACACGTTTATCATTCAAACGCCAATTTTCTTCTAATTTGTTACTTTGTACCATCGTGTGCTCTTTCAATAAACGTATCAATGTTAATTTAATGACTAACATAGCAAAACGCATGCCAATACACTGACGTGGACCTAAGCCAAATGTCAGGAAAGCAGATTGTGATTGTTGTGTAAGATGACGATCAGGATAAAATAGAGCTGGATCAATTGGTCCCCAGAGATCAAAAGAATAATGAAGTGAATACACATCAGCTTGAACGATATCATCTAGAAAAATTAGAAAGGACGAAAACAAAGTTTCAAGTGGCAAATTTTTGGCGCAACATAGGCTAAACTTCTCAGGAAAGTGTTCAATGAAAAGCAATCGTTTTACCACAAAAAAAACTGCTAAACAGTATAAAATTTCAAGTTTTTTAACACCAAGAGATAATTTGCCTAAAAATGGCTCTACTTTAGTCCGTTTTTTCGAGGTATTTTTGATCTAAGTCTGCAGAATCCTAGTATATTCATTACCGAAAAAGAAAAAGTGTCGTGTGAGTATGAAATTTCACGAAATCTCATTTTTGTTGTCAAAGACGAGTCCCTACACCAGCTCATATGAGTTCGAGCTGGAAGTGGTCATTAGCACTTTACTAGCGCTTCTCACTATTCACGAGTTTGAACTGTCACACTCCTAATACACATCCCAATCCGATCAAAGTTGTCATAAAAAACTTTCAGTTCAATAGATCGCAGCGTCTAGGACAACAAAAAGAAGGCGGAAAACTTCGATTTTTCTCTTCAAAAATTCATTTCGAGAAAAAGGTGAAACAATGAAGAAAGCCGTTTTTTTCGATATATTGTATTTTTTGCTTTGACGTTCAAGTAATTATTTTTGTATAGATTATTTGCTACATGAAAGAGCTCTGAAACGTGATTTTTGAGATAGGGTTTTTCTTTTCGAGGTTGCATTTTCTCAGGATCTAAATAATAATGAAATTTTTTTCGTTTATGTGACATTCAAAAATCGAAAAAGTGAATTTTTGGAGTCAGAAAATGGAAAGGGGCGCCCTTAAAGATAGAATTGGTTTTCATAAAAGGTCTACTTCTTTACAAAAACAGCTACGATCTTTTCTATAGACAGCTAAAATGGTCTATTTTTATCGCCACTGTGATGCTAAAAATCACAATTTTTTTTAAATATCTCACTCTCGACATACCTTTCTCAATTTTAAATTCTCTTCCACTTGCATCTCTAACCATCGTTTCGCATTCACACTGACGACTAACTTGTTGTAATGCAATCGGGTACATTCGCAAGACTTCTCTTAGAAACCTATCCAAATATTCAAAGTTTTTTGTAACTGCATCATAGCTCATTTCTTCTTCATCTTCTTGTGAATCGATTTCCATTTGTAATTTCAATTGTTCCGCTGGGTGAGTCGCTAAGATATAAGTGGAATAGGCCATAGTCGACGCCATGGGTTCGTAGCCCGCAATGAGAAAGGCCGAAACGTTTTGTAAGATTTCACCGTGAGATATTAAATCATCCTTTGAAAAGAAAGAAAAGAGAGGAAAAGGATTATTAAAACTGCTTTGAATCTAAAACGTCACTTTCGAAATCCTCAAAGTTACTAGACTCAAAACATGACGTGTTACCTTCTTTGCAGCTTTCAATAATAAATGCACTAAATCAGTTCTTCCATCATCGTCACTACTTTCTATTGCTAGATCAACAATTTCTCTAACTTTTTCTCTGATCCAATATCTTTGAAATTCATTAAATTGAAGAAATTTCTGTTTTCCATTCAAAAAACGTTTTAAATCATCTTGTAATCTATACAGTTTTTCAATCAGTTGTGAGAGAAACGACATTGGACCAAGTAAGTAGGTTAATTTCACCCATGGAGATTGTGTAATGTCAATTGCAAACATTTCTTCAACTTTTCGATAATATTCGTCGGAAGGGGAATGTAAACCATAGCAACAAGAACAAATAATATCAAATGTAAGACGTTTGTAGAAAGCATAGATATTGAAATCAAGATTAGTTGCAGGAAGTTTGAAAAGGAAATGAGTGACACAGGAATTCAAGTAGGGAAATAGGTCCTAGAAAAATAGAAGGCAGACAAATATCTAGGCTAGCAAAGAGCTTCTATTACAGTTTCTCAAGCCAATAGAAAAGACTAGTTGATTTTCATCTAATAAAAGCAGTGCAGTCTTTGACTGTCAAGCTGATTTTTGTGGTTTTCTTCGATTATTGCTATTTCATTTAATTTCTATCATCAAAGAAAGTTATAGTTGCACAGTTTCACTTTCAATTTTTTGTGTACAGACTCCAAGATGCAATATAAGCCCAGTAGGTTTCTAATGCGTCCTGGGATTTACTTATATCTCTGCCTTTACTTTGAAGTTAACTCTAGCAACTATGAACTCACCTTTAATTTCATTGTTGAAAATATCGTATTCATTATTTTTCTCTGTTGTTTCCACTTCTCGCCTTTTGCATTCAACAGACTTGGATACTTTTCATTTGGATTAAGGAAAATTGCAATTGGTTTACGCGATGTAAAGAGTGAAAATTGTCTAATAAATACATCTTCAAGAAAGTTCACATCACTGACAACCCAAATACGTTGATAAGCACCTTCGTAGAAACCGTAGATTGGCCCATATTTTTGGGTCCAAAGTTGGAGTTGACGACTAATACTTTGACACTTCCATAATTGACGCAGATTACCGAAGAAGAGTGAAGGATGAGGACCAGGAGTTGAGCGAGAGGAAAAATAACGTAATGAACGAATTTGATGGTAGAGAATTAGAAGAATAACGACTAAAACCAGTGTAAGAAACATTTTTTGTGTGCACTAAAGATATGAAATATAAGCAAAACAAAGAAAGATAATAAATATGCGTATGTGTTTAGAATACAGGACAAACAAAATAATTCTTTTTTACTTTATAACCCACTCATACAAGCAGGTGATGTCATATTGCTTGCCTTTTATGTAGAAAATGGGCTTCATCTGCGTTTCAAAGAAATCTATTATTCTATCAAAAGCTTATTAAAGTTCAGAAACCGTTGTTTTCCGACAAGTAACACTATTAGGGCTGCAACGGTGACGATTATCGACCGTTTCACTGGTAACACCCATGTGAATCGGTATAAACCCATATTCACCGAAGTCCTTTAAATATCAATGAATATCGACATATACCGGTCAATATCGGTATATATTATTATCTGTAGAACGATTACCGGTGAAACGGTTACCACGTCGCACATAGAGTGTAGGCGGATGGGGGTGTGAGTGTGGATGTACTAAGAAGCGTCACACCAACATCCCCTCTCCCCATGTCACTTATTATTGTGCTGCTTTTCTCTTTTTAAAGTATATTTGCATTAATATTCTTTAAGAATTTGAAAGGATATTTTTATCTCCATGTCTTTCACGTTTCTCTGAGTAACAAGACAACACACTAAAAAACGTGACGCATTTATGTGTCGTATCGACGCTGAGAAAATTGCATTGTTCTTTTTTCTGTTGGAGAACATGTGTTCCAATTAAGATTGCGTCGCACAATTATATGGGTGCACTGTTGTAGAGAAATATCATTTTATTTTAAGATAATCTTTCTACTGAGATACACAATTGATCAAACCCCAATTCTCAAGATATCGAAACATAATAAATAATAAAAAAAATTCTGATTGCATTAACCTGATCATGTTTTTTTGCATTAATTAATCTTGTCGAGCAATCAGCAGTTTTTTAAGTTTACCAAGATAATTATATTTTATCTATATTTATATTCACGAGAGCGATAAACTATTGTTTGTTTGAAACATATTCGCACTAATCGTATAAGAGAACCAAAAAGAACATTTTATATGGGTGCTTTTCAATTAAGAGCATGCTGGATTGAAAACGAATTTGCTCATACAGCAAGTGAACTTCATCATATCTAAGTTTTCAAATAGAAAAAAAGTTACTGATAGTATGACATCGTGTCTCTCTTAATGATGAAATTGGTTCGGTTCGATTTGATGAAAATGAGAAGCGATTCTATGCATGATATCAATGCCGTAGCAGAAGATCAAATATAATTATACTATTCGATGCGACTAGTGAAGACTTCCGTGCATACTTATTCTAGTATTTGAGTTTTGTTTAATATAAGCTTTTGAAGCATGTTTTTAGTTTATATTTCAAATCAAAACATTAAGTCCAATGTAATTAACAAAATTATTAAAAAAAATTAACTAGAAATATCTCTAAAAATAGTATTGAAACCTGAATTTGGATTGATTTAGTACAGAACGTGTTGCTCTACAAAAATATGCACCGCACTACTTTAACAAAACTATCTGTTTTGCATACAACTTGGAGAATCGACATCGTTTCAGCTGTAATGAGGTAGAATGACAAAGAGGGTGATCATTTCTTATATGAATACCACTGAAAGATGAGTTATGTGAATATATTTTCCCACATTTTCTTGTTCTTCGATCCATATTTCAGAACTGTGAAAACAAATATATGTAGGGCTAATTTATTCAGAAGCTGTTTCTGTTTTCAATACTATAACAATAAATCATTCATAGATAATATGTAACCGGAAAGAATAATTTTCGATGCTGCATTCAAAGAGATTCAGAGATTTTAAAATACTATACCTATTTTTATGAAACCATAGAAGAAGAACCATTAGCATTTCAATAGAAACTGGATAGAGAATTCTCTCTATCAATACAAAATTCTCTTTTTATGGCATGACACTTAATGACCACTAACATACATAAATCCATAAAAATCTGCAAAAAAAATACGAGATCTTTGTTGAACAATTGGAAAACTATTAGTCGTTGCAAATCATGTAGACAGGAAAATTTTATTCAAAAAAAAATAACATCTTCAAAGCAAAAAATTCTGTATAGAGTCAACTCTGTTGTTTTCTGCATCTATTTGGATGGGATCATAAGATTTTTTCCTATCATGATTCGCTTCTCTTATCCTTGCTCTCTCTATGACAAAATCTATGTATTAGGCTTTTCCTTTTCCGTCTTATAACAATTATTAATCTTAACGACTGATTGGAAAGTTTTTTCAGAAAATAACTGTTCCGTTTTGACTTGCTAGAAATTATTTTCGACGAATCGAAAGCTTTAAATTAAGATTAGAATTGTGTGCTCTTTTCGAACATATCGGTGTGAGTGTGAAGGTGCGGATGTGACTGGGTGTGGGGGCAGCTGCCCGGGAAGTATCTTTCATGGAACTCACACTTTTTTAGTTTAATATTGAAACGTCTTCGATCAATTGCAGCTGAATATAAATATTAAATTGAATATATGAGATTGAAAGACAAACATCTATTTTAACTAAAATTAAATCGAATTGATCAAGTATTTGCATTTCGTTTATATTTATTGAAAAATAAAAATTTCTTAGATAATAAATCATATTGCATAGATTAACAAAGCATGAAAAATAGTTTTGAAGTGGGAATACGCATGACAAGAAGACTAATGCGTATATTTTCATTCAAGAAAAATTACTGTAAATAAAAATATTTCGATTTTTATTTGAAGATCAATGATGCAATGAGTTGATTAGGATGACAATGAATGTTTGAAATCAAACTTGTCAAAACGAATAAAGCCAATAAATCATGAGTAATGATAGTGATGGAATCGCTTGGTACGTTTGTGACTAACTGATACGTTCGATTTCTTATTTATGCTCTTGCCAAGCCAAAATCGTACTGGATAGCTGCAGTCATTGCTGAGCAAGAAGCTCCACTCAATCCAAGATACAAAATCTCTTTTCACTTGCGAAAGCCATTTAATGATCTGCTCTGCGAAAGTATGTCCGTAACGATGTCTAAATGTGACACTTGATAAATGTTCGGCTCGCTCCAATATCATTTTTGCGTCATCCACATATGTAATGTCCGTATCAAGACGTTTGATATGACGTGGCAATTTTAAACAGATAGCATTAATAGTTATCAACTTCATTCTCTCAGAATCATTGCAGCTTATTTGAATTGAACGAAGATTCCATGCTCGTTTGAATAGAATATCGATTTCGACATCTAGACTCGTATCAAATCTACACTCGCATTGGAAATTCAAGTGTATTCTTTGAAGATTCGATACATTAAGAAGTTTTGAAAGATGTTCAATGGAACTGATAGGCCATTTTTGACTTATCATCAGTGTAAGTTCTGTCACATTCCGAAAGATATAATCCATTCTTGTGTTAAACTAAAAACAAAAATGTGTGATATATTTATATAAAATTCAGAAATCTTTTCAAAGCATTTTATATGTAAATGGAACAAATTTAATAAAAAATGGTCTACATTGACTTTGCTATTTTAACAACTCTCGATTTCAAAATTTTCCTTTCTCTAAAACAATATGTCCGAGTATCTCTTATCGATTGGCTCACAAGCGAAAAATCCTCATTGTTATTTAGCATGAAAAAAGACAATTTCTTTTTAGACTTCCATGAGGAACATATTGTCTCGGACAGCCTCAGTGAAATGAAGAGTAATCGATTACTTGAAAATAGCAATGTGTAATCAATTATTGTCTATTCAACAAAAAAATACGCAATATGAATCGATTAGAAGTTAATCTGTTTTGAAGCTATGATGCATTGAATTTCATTAGAAATCGTTATGGACCACAATCGATAATAATGTTGCATTTATCATTTATTACTGTATTACATATTAATCAAAAGTAATGATGATTATTTGATCATGCATTTTTACATGATTGAGCGCTGTTTTGGGTGGGTAGATTTGTATAGTCTTTCAAAAACTATTACTTCTCTCAGTTTAACAGAACACGACACAGTCAAATAAAACAGACGATTTTAGAATTCTTTCGAGCATTTGCCATTTTATCAGAATAAAATGAAGCTAAACCTAATACTCCACCAAAGCACTATTTAGTATGTGTGTAAATAGATTTTCAATGGAATCGAACAGTTCAACGTTTTTATTAATTAAAGAAAAGTTTTGAAATATTTTCCAAAGTTTCCACCATTTTCTCTAACATAGACACGTAGCATTTTTTTTTGTGGTTAAAAATATTTCTGAGGCCATATTTCATCCATTAGTAGGAGATCATTAAGCTGTAACAACCTTCGAGGGTTCATGCATTAAATGATATTGTTGAAAAAGTGTATATCTTGCAGTAAGTATATTGAAAAATTTCTAAAATTCGGTATAATTGAGACCTTTATGTGAGCAAAGTTTTAGATAAAAAAAATTGAAAAAAACAATTTTATGGAAAAGTTAGGTTCTTCATAGAAGAGTAAATGAAAGACTCAATATCTCTGTGAGAAGGAAACAAAACCATCAACACTTTGAAGATTGTTACAGTTCATTGGTCTCATACTGCTGAATTATATATTGACTCAAAATTGTTTAATCATTTGGCGGACCAACTGTCGAAAGTATTATTTTTGTATTGGAAATGAAAAATTTTCTGTATGAAATTGAATAGAAATTGTTATGAAAGAATTCTCCTCTACCACCAGAAGAACATTTAGTTCATTTGATGAAAGTACGAGAAAAATATTAAAACTTTTTGTATTGTAAAGTTATTTATGACACATATTGTATATTAGAGAAACGTGGGCAATAAGATGAGTCACTTTTTTCATCATTGTCAAATCTACATAGAACAACTTTTATTCTACTGTGCAAGTTGTATTACCTATTTTAGCAAATCCGTAATTTTTATTGAAATCTTCTCGAGAAACGTTAACACTGATGAAGAATACTTTTAACAACAATTATAATCTTTCAAAATGATTCGGCACCAAAAAAATCAGTACTAATCAATACGAGTCTAAGAAAGGTATATAACAAAACTCATCATTAGACTGTAATAATATTTTATCGACTTTCTTTGAGAAGAATTATTTATTCGAGAAGAAATAATCGATTTGAAAATGTAAAATATAACACTTACCTTTTGTTGAATGTTTTCAGTCATCATTCGACTCAAGTCTAAGGATAATTTATGCGCATTGATGATGATTGTTGAATTGTTATCAACGGTGTTCAACGTAGAATGCCGGATTGTACTTTGTCGACCAGGATAATCAAAGCTATTTTGGAAGATTGGTATCGAATAGAGATGAAATTTCTCATCATATTCGTTGTACTCATAGTCACATTTAACATACCAATGTTTGATTTCGAGCCAGAATGATGTTCGAAATGGTAGAATCAATGATTCCACAGTAGTATAATCGGAATTGTCGGATATATGACAAATAAACGAAAATTCGAACTTGTTCAATAGAGGTAATTTCGTTTCAAAGAAATTTTCCCATCGAGAACCATCAAATAATAAAGAATCAGTTAAAGGTTCCCGACCAGTCAGCCGAAGATGCTTTATCATAGGTAAAAGTGAAAGGAGTGATTCAACATGGTCCATTGTTATGTCAGAACTACTGCTTAAGAAGAGTGACGTTAAATTACTTGATTGTATAATAACAGGATGTGTAACAAACGGCTCATTGACGGCTAGTTCCTCTAGTACCAATCTTCTTAGATGAGGTAAGTGACCAAGAATAGAGTAAACTGTATTCCAATTGCATGAAGAAAAAATTGTCACGTATTTCAATCCACATGAAAATGGCCATTTTACTTCATTGACAATCACATAGCTTCCTTTGAATTCGAGTGTACGAAGATCATTGTGCGATATAATAGATGATAACAATGCTATTGTGTTATTACTACTATAGTAACGATACGTCATTGAGAATGTTGTAAGGGGATATTTCATGACACATTTTTCAAATTGATTCAAATTTTTATCTTCTAGATTAAAGAAACTCAATGAACGTAGTCGAATGAACTGGTCAATACGAAAGTGGAAAAGAAATGAAGACATTTGCTCGCGTGTTTCCTGTTCACCCGACAGTGTAAGTTAAATAACATTCTTAGGATCAATAATACGTGCCATGAGAGATAAATCAGATTTTGACACATAACGGAAGTTCAGTTTATAGTAATTGTAGCCATTAACAATGGAATAGAGCCGTTTACACACGCAACGAATTGAGATGGCAATTGTCTCTGCATCAAGTTCATCGAAAATTCGATGAATAAGCTCAATAGGTAATGCTTGAAGATTGCATTTCTTTTTAGAAGACATGAATCGTAGTGCGCAAAATGTACACGTGTAATATGTTTTCTTTCAAACTATGCGTCACGATTGTGCATATATGTCGAGTGTAAATGCCCAACGACGAGTCATATATGACTGTATAGAATGAAAAAAAAACAGCAAATGCTTACATGTTTATTCATCAAAATGATAAGAAAAACATGTAATAATAATTTGCACAATTAACTATCGAATATTTCAAAATGAAAATGCAATAACCTTCACTTGAAAATTGTGACGAAATTAATGCAGAACTTTTTTTCAAGACACTACACTCTAGATGTAGGGTCTGGAGTATGGGTGTCAGTGCAGATTAGGTTAATAAGGATATTCACTATTCATGTAAAACGAATTAGAGGTAAAATCAGATTAAAATCGATAATAAACAAAATTAATCGAAATGGTCAATGAAATTTAAATGTACTGAGATGTTAGAAATTTCGGGTGTACTCTTCTTCGTTTCAACAAACATTGAAGAAAATATTTTTTTAGTATGTTGCAAACTTTTAGGTACAGGACGAAATATATCGACGTATAGAGTGACAATGTTATTAAAAACAAAATCATTTCGCATTGCAAAGAAGACAATACACAAATTCGCAATCAAATGACAGTAATAGAATCATACTATTGATCGAGATTAACTAACCAGTAATATATACTATTATTAAAATACAAAAGAAATCGTAATATATATTTTCTTCACTATCAAATTCTTAAATTAGCTTGATCATTATTCAAATCAGCTAAATTGAGGTGTTTCACTGCTTGGATGTTCTTGATGCTTAATAAATATAAGTTTTTATTGTTTTTCGACTATCGTTTTCTTTTCATTGTATTCTTCTTTTTGCTCATTATCATCATTATTGGCTTGCGAAGAAATTAATGTTCGTAGATCAAAACAAATGTTGGCAAAGTGTTGGAAATCATTACAAAAAGAAAAATTGATTTAAATTTAAAATGTTTATGATCGAATATTCTTCGTTATCATTACGTATGATCCTTCATACCAAAAGGAAGAAATATTGTTTCTAATATCATGAACAAACACTTTAAAAAATATAAAAAAATTGAGAGGAACATTGTTCTCTTTTGGCAAATTTTAAAAAGATTTTTTTTTATTTATGATCCTTTCTTTTTAATTTAGTAGTCGTGGAACCTTCTTTCTTTGCAGTTTCATGTTTGCTTTTAATTTTATCAAATAATGCAACGCTATAAAGTTTCTCTTTGATCGTTTATTGACTTTGTTTGCGTTTCATATGAGAGTTGAATAAGTTTTCGATCGGTGACAAAAATGAATAATTAGTTCAAACAGAATCCTGACGTTCGGATTAAAAACGGTCTTTTTCAATGACAATCTTGAACTATCAAGCAATATCTACACATATTTCTACTAGCGGTAAAATAAAAACCCATGCGACAAATGGTAATTTCTACTCATAGAAAAAAATGAATAAAAAAGAACGTTGTAGAAGGATCTGTTCGTAAGACACTTTTAGCGTTCTCTTGAAATGCGTTTTGAAGAATCTTTTTCTTGTTTATTGCGCGAAAAATCGCGTTCCGACAGTCCTAGAATGTGATCATCGATGGCAAGCACAAAATACACTATCGGAAAACGGATTTTCCTCAATTAGAAGCAAGTTTAATAAAAATAATTCTTCGTTCTTAAGAACATCTTTGTCCTGTAACAAGAAGAATGTCATGTGGACGAACAAGTTCCTAAGAACAAAGAACTGTTTTTATTAAATGTGTTCCTAGTTGATGAAAACTCTTTTGTCGATAATGCATGGTGTGTAGGACATGGGTGTTGGTTTTCTTATTACTCACATCCACATCGAGAAGAGCAGATTGTTTGAAATTTATTGTTTCTTTTCAATTGCCACTTCCCGACGTTCTAGGAGCAAATTTTGTCATTGATGAAACTATTGATGATAAACATGAAAGTTAAATTTTGAATTAGTGATCATGCTATATGAGTGTTCCTTTTAGAGAAGACGTTTGGCTATTTCATTTTTGTAGTATTGAGTCTCGAGTGTGCATGTAAGGGGAGTAGATTAAGAGAAGACGAAAACTCCAGGTAAACAATCGAATAATCTGATTACTGTAGAGCAAATGAAAAAAAATTATATTCACTTAATTTCTAAGCAAATATAATTTGCGAACAAAAATCTTATAAGGTTGTGTGTGTAGGAGTTGCGGCACATGTCGATGAAGGTAGAACATCTATACCCAGATAGTAATCTTCTTTATTTTACACTCATGAATATATGAGCATGCAAGAAAAAATAAGTTGAATACAATTTTACAGAGATTACATCGTAAAACGGTATAATTAAGACCCATAGTTCATTTCAGCAAACGAACAATATTTATTTAGCACTGATATAGAAAACTACTGACGGTCTCTTATATACGTTATCAAGTATTCAGCGTATGCTTGTGCATCATGATAAGTAACAAAAATATGCTTGTTATCTGTTGTTGTATCAAATCCAAGCGGCGGAGTTTTCATTGATGAATTGCCAAGCGTTGATTTGCCGATTAGAACTCGTGACACAAACATACATCGCTCTCCATCTGCATTTGGTCTAGTATATGTATGACTGTAACTAGGTTTCGATGAAAAATACACACCTACACCATAAACTGTGCCTAAAAATAATGAATATGCCTTTTTGTATCATAGCAAAAAAACATTTATGCGAATAAAAATTACCGTTCACCCCAGCAAAACTTCTATTAAAACAATCTTCTATAATTAAATTTGCTGCTTTCTCAGGACAGCCATGATATAGACGTTTTTCAGTATTTCTTTTCATGCGTTTTTGAAATTCTTGACAATGTGCCAAATATTGTGCGTACCATCGTTCATTTTGAATTCGTTCAATTTTTATGACACAAATATCCATGTTGCTCATTTCTTGATAGAAATCTTGAAAAACTGACATATATTCATCTGTATTAGGGGACACTGGAAATCGTTTTCGATCGTTTGCTGAATGTATCCATGTGTCAGGAAATTGACACAGTGCTATTGTATCCACTCCTATTTTCAAAAATTGGTTATAATATATGTTGAACCTATCTCAATTTGTTGCATATTTTCACTACTATTCAAGTACATGTTCGTTCTATCTGAAATTTTTGTAGTCTAAACAATAGGATAGGCTTTTTTAACTTGAACGAATAGGACAACTGAATATTATACAATGAATGGTAATATCCTAAACTTATACTTCTCGTATTTATATTTACGGTCGTGAGTAAAAATAGATTGAATCGAAGTACTTTAGTCTTTCATTGATTAGAAACAATTTTAACGATATATATGTGGCATGATTAGGTTTTTGTCTAAAATTCTCTTCAATTAGTGGATATGGATCAGTAGAGAAACTAAATCACCTCACTCTCATGTATCGATTTTATCATAGCACACAGGTGGTATTAATTAGAGATTCTCGAGCTGTATCGTGTCTATGGGAACATAGGCACATTGGTAGTGTAACGAGGTACTAATGGATAACACTGCATTTACTAATTTCCTGCCAAATGACCTTAAAAAGATTCATTCTTTCGGATTTGAAGAGATGATATAGGATACAAATGAGGGTGTACTACAACTTGGAATGCTTTGAAGTTTATTTTGCTTTAATCATGATAGTAACCAAAGCTATAATTTAATGAGTTCTTCATAATATATGGAAAATCAAAATAGATCCAATGAAGTCATATTATAAACATTACCTTCCGAAGATTTCAATGCTTGTTTACAAAATTCATCATAAACATTGACAGAATCTGGTTGTACAACGAATATTACTTTTAACGGTAACTTTCTCTTTAGCAATTGATTTTTGACTTCTTTTATCAGAGTTTTAACTACAAGAACTACAGAACAGCCATAATCTCCACATCCAATTGCCGGAAATGCAATAGAATTGAAGCCATATGAGATCATATTTTGAATAGCATTTGACACAAAATCAACAATAGATTGCTGTAGTATAGCTTCGTCATCATTAGGTTTCCATTTAATAAAAAATATTGTTTCACAAGGTAGATCACCAGGTGGTGTTGGTATGAGTAAAGAACATTGATTATAATTAAGTTCGTCATCATAGAACGATTGAATGTCATCACCTGCTGCTTCCATTATTGCACTTTTTAAGTTGATCGAAGATGAACTGACAATGATAACATCGACCTATAGGAAAACAAAAGGAATTTCGAATGATTTATTTTTTATAGAAAGAGATGAATTTCTCTTTCTGAAATAATTCAACGTTTTCATTTTGAGTATTACATAAAGCGATGAATTCTTTTCTTGATCGACTTATAAATGATCGTTTACCTTTTCTCTTGTTATATCTCCCATTTTAATCTCAAGTTTGCCTTTTCCAATATCGGACGATATACCAGAATAATTCAACTCTTGTTGTGTTATATATAAACGATCGATCTGTGCTTGAAATGCATGATATATCGCTTTTTTGCTCGGTTCTATCACAATTGAAACCGATATTGAATATGTAGTTAAAAGACGATGGATTTCTTCTATAAAAATTTGAGCAACAAGATTTACAGAACAACCATATTCTCCACAACCAATAGCTGGAAAGGCTATTCTTCGATAACCATCATATGCTGCCTTCTCCATGGCAATTGAAATAAATTTTTGAAGTGATTTACGAAGTAGATTTTCATCAGAATGTGGTTTCCAAGGAATGAAATAAATTACATCAGATGGAAGCTGACCATCAGTTTCTATATCTATGATATAAGCTTGAGGATTCTCTTCTAATGCATCTGCATACGCTGCATCAATCAAGCCTTCTCCAGCTTGGCAAACCGTGTCAAATAAATGTCTTGATGATGGACAAACAACAATAATATCACTCTAAAAATACCGAAAAATAAATGTATGTATTCATTTTCATTATAGTGCTAATCTGTGTTTCAATTACTTGTTCAGTTGTCAGATCACCCATTCGGATTTCAATGGATGCATGCGAGTTTGTATGCCTTCTGTAAGTCTTCAAGCAATAAAAGAAAAATCAATATATACAGAGGAGTGCAAAAAAAAATTGCCGTTAGTATTTGCTAAATCTATTCTTTTGAATACGATGAATATCGAAAGTTCTTTTTTCGTAAATAGTTTACATACTACGGAGTACATAAATGTATTAATCAATAACTAGTTCTGTCTTCCTTCAGGTAACGAACAAGGAAATATCATACCCTCATTGCTTCACTGAAAATAGCTTAGGCTTATTTTGCCTATGCCTATGAATTCTGTCAAAGCATAAAATATGCATTTGGAATAAATTAAGAGCTGCCATGCACCTACTTTCGGATCAAGATTTGGTAGCTGCAGTTTCAGCTCTATTTGATGCTGCCCTGGTTTCTAAGACAGGAAACAAACTATGCGCCACATTCTCACAATGTGACTCCTATTTGAACCTGAAGACAAATTCTGAGAATTATTTACTGAAACAAATTTCATCTACTAGCCAAGGCCCATCTATCCTCAAAATTTCAAGTCGACCGTATAAGTGATTATCGAGAAAGTGAGAAATACGGGTAGGGCACCATTTGTACGGAGAAATGTGTAGATCGCGGCCATCTATTGGTTTCTAAAATCACTTTTTCTTGAAGCTGATTTACATTTCATTTAATGCTATAAACAAAGTGCTTCGGTAACAAGACGACTTCGACAGCTCAACGATTGTCCTAGCTCAGGTAGTGTAAGATGACCATCCAATATGCAAAAAAAGCAGTGAATGTTCAAATCATTATGCACATCGGTCAACAGAATGATACTTTTGAAGAAGTATCTCTCATATTGCATTCTGTAGCATCTCCTGGACTGCCGAGGAAGGCTTCGAAAGAATCCATTCATACGCTTAGCAGATATGACTCGAGAAAAAGCATATGTGTATCGGCAATTTTTTTTGCACTCCACTGTATATATAAATTAAATAGTTTGTATTTCATTGGATCGACAATCGATTTTCTGTTTATTTATTGATCAAATGAATAAGAACATTGCTCGCAACTGTATAAAGAAGAATCGAAAAAGAGGATAAAGACAAAGACAATCTTGCCGTGGACATCACAATAAAAGAAGAATTAAAATAGCAATTATTGATGTATTTGTCCAAACAACAAACAGGTACTAACTAATGGGTGAATCGACGATAATTAGCGAGGAATCATATGCAAGTATTAGTTATCAAATTTTCAGTGAATATGCCTTAAGCAACTTCAGTTTTTCAATAGAGTCAATATTTTCCAATTTTTGTGATGTTTTCATTAGACTACTAAGCGTACGAATTTTAAAACGTTTGAACATAATCTTTTCGCAATGTGCAGTTTTCAAGCAATGAATTCTTTTATACAGTTTCTGCCTGAGGGTGATGTTTTATATGGAAATTTGAGAATGATTATTCCATTGAAAAATAGCGGTTTTATAAGAAAGGTTTACTAAAAATTCAATAATTTGACAAGAAGTAGAAAGCAGTACAAACATTTTCAATTTCTTGCTAGTCTCTTTAAGACCTACTTCCAGGGAAGTATTCTTAGTTGAAAAATCGATCACCATCTAAATATATTCCATTCGCCTGTTTGATTGTTTTTGTTGAGAGATTTATAAATAAACGAATTTAGTGATGTCGCCGCTAAGATTCCAATCTTTCTATGAAACTGAATCAGATAAATTCTCTCGTATTGCCATAAGTAATATAATCAAAAACTGTAATTCGAGAAAGAAAAACTTGTATTACCTGTGAACAATGACTGCTGGCAATTGAAAGTTTTGATGATCGAAACTCATTTCGTGGAAATCTCATATCTGAAGTAAAATTGGGAAGAGGTTTTCTTTGCTGAGTGGATATGGGTCGTAGCAAATTGCAACTGGTTTGTGTTGTTCGTATGTTAGAATGGGCTGCTTGATTCTGTTTTCTAAAGGTGTCTTCACCCATTGTACAATTTACTTCATAAGATCGACTAGTAGTCCCATCTGGATAGATTCATCATCTGAAATTGAGAAATAATCAGAATGCCTTTTTTTGTACAGTTTTAAATATCATACATAATGGTTTTCTGACGATAGATCGACTGACTGAATGAGTCAGATTGCACTCATTTTCATTTGAAGTTACATTACTTTCGGACGCATACAATTTGTTCGATCGATCAATTCCGCTCAATCTTTTGTCTTTTGGAACTTTGAGTAGTAGAGGCTTGAGACTTTGCATAGAACCATATTTATGTGCAGTTTGACTGTTGTCTTCATTGTTACGTAGTGTTGGTGCGGGTGATAAATCTGTACACTGACTAGATTGTGGAGGAAGGCTTTTTATGGAACCTATACGAAACAGTAGAAAGTAAAACATCTGCTTTACATTCTGTTTTCTGGACAGATGCGTCAGAAATGTGAAATGGAATATCTTTCTTGTCCAACTTATTTTATAGTAAATCAATGAACAATTAAGTAACATTAATCAGAACGGTTTCCAAGTCATCTTCCTCAATCCGAGATTAAAGTTGAACTTTTCCAAATTATTGATTCATTAATTGAAACTAGATATACGAAAGACATGATGTTTTATTTTACAAAATTATATGAATTAGTAGATTTGTATCAGAGATCAAAACGGAGTGTGAGTGTGGTTGAAAACAACAACAATACTCACAATAATCACCATAGCCGCACACTACAACAAATGATACATTCTTCCCTAAAACCTGAATTTGAATCACATATAGTAAAACAAATTGTAGATATTGAACAAGAATAATTTTATAAAAAATCTATTCGAACCGTTATAAAATAATTGTCGACAAAAACATGTGAGATTATTTTAGATAATTTTCAAAAGAGATCTGAAATATCAAACATATGGACTTATAATCAATCTCATTGAAAAATTTATTCTCTGGACTGTTTTTTTTTCTGACATAGTGTATCCTATCGTTTTTATGCTCCAAAACGAAACTTAGAATTTAAAATAAGTCAGTAACTCATTCTGATTAGTATTTAATGTCTTACTGGTAGATGATCGTCGACGACATCTTTCAGCTATTCTCGAGAGTGTCCCACTTGATGTTTTATTTTCGCTTGTAGAATCTTTGTATGTTTTGTATGCATGAGTATCAGCAACATATAATTCGATAGCACCATTTATTATCCTAGCGGATTTGATTTTTTTTCTTATGGATTCGCTTTTATCTTTATCGATATTTTCACCATTAATTTTAACAATACGATCTGAGTTTCGTAATCCGGCTAATGCTGCTGGTGAATTGGGTACAACATATATAATATATAAACCGATACCTTTTTGACCACGAGCTGTTTCAATACCAAACGATGAATTCTGATCAGCATTTAATACAATTGTGCATGTACGTAGTCGATTTTTTGAAAATTCAATATATTCAATAGGCATTGTTGTCGGTGTTTCAAATCTTGTAGCTCTGGAGAGATCATTCAATTTTGACTTACATCTTGTATTCTCATAAATATCTTCTTGACAGACAAGCAATTCAACCATACTTTTGGAATCTCGTGCTCGATTTATTAGTTTTCTAATTATTTTTTCATGCACATCTGTTACATTCTTACCATTGATTGCAAGAATAAAATCTCGCATTCGGAGACCACCAGCCATTGCCGGACTATTTGACTCAACCATATCAATAATATGAGGCGATTGTGATCCTTCACAAATACTGAAACCAAATTCATTCCAATCTACCCATAGATGAAGGCGACACAGACGAGTTTCATTCTTAAACTTTGATTTAGAGTAACTGTCCATTTCAATGGGTACTTCAGTACAATCACGTTAATTATTTATCTTAAGACATAAAAAAGTATCTAGAGTATTTCTCTTTTATAAGGCTGTTATTTTTCAATTGTTAGTAAAAACGTGATGCAATTCTGATGAATTTTATCAAGAAATCAAATAGAATTGGTGTATTGTATGAAAGCAAAAGTAAAAGATCATTTAAAAAGAGTTTACTTTATAAAAATCGAACTATGATGATATTCGAGTTTGAAGATATGGGCACGGAATGTGAGCATGAATGAATTTGAGGCATGCATGTATGTGCAAGAGATTACAGAATAGATTAACGAACTTACACTCGTACTCTTTCTCACGATCACTAATAGAGTTGAAGATAGAGTCGCTTTTCTCGCTATAAACTTCCACGTCTTTATAATAATGTTTTCAAAAGAAAAGGCACTCTTCTCTTTCCTCCGAAATCCGAAGTTCCATGTTGTTTAAGATTCAAATCTGAAGGTCAATTTTCTGTACCAGATAGACGATATCGTTCAAAAAGATAAAAAGCTTTCAAATGAAAATATGCTGTACCTACGGCACTCATTTGATTGTACTGTAACTTTTAGGAGGTATTTATATGTGATACAAAGGTTTTTACTAAAATGTCGAATTCAACTAGACTATATTGCTGACTTGTAAACAAACAAAGCTTTTTTATGGGAAAACATAATTTCTGAATTAAATAGTTTGTACCGGACATTATTCCAGAATGGCTCCCAGAAGAGTGAAAGGTCAAAAAATTAAGCATCTCTAAGAAAACGTTCTTGCAACATTATCACAAATGGAAAAACCTCTATGTTTCAAATACTTTGAGTCACATTAATCGAATTCAAACAATCAATAAATCAAAATGTAGTGCATCAAAACTCGATTGCTAGCAACTTGGGTAAATGTGTTTGACATATTATTGACCATTGCATTAAAAAAGGTTTGAAATATGAGTTTTGTTGTAAAACTAAGGCTTTTTCACGGACGATCAATTTGCGAGATCATCAGCCATCATTGACAGAAATGGTGCATGAATTTAGTTGGAAAAATAAAATTATTCAGTTGCTTTCGGATAAAGCTATATATTGATATAAAAATCAATAGTCAGTTTGACTTCCAATACACCAGTGAAAATAAGCAGTCTTTGTGTTACTGTAATCATTATGAAACGTGTTTTCTTCATGTTTTAGCCGATATGAAAAAAAAACTAACAGAAAATTGAAAATAATATTGCTTCGACGTAAATTTACAAGAGCTCTTTTAGATTGTTTCCTTTTTTGACTTGTTCTCATTCTGTGATACGTTGTACAAGTCGACAAAATGGTCCAACAGAGTTTGACATTTTTTCTAAAGATATTGGCATTGCACATTACGCCATGCGGTTCCTTAACATACCTGAAAGTCAAACGATTCTGCGTATTATTCAATCGGCGGTAGCAGAAGGGCGCCAGATTTTTATAGAAACTCACCCTTTAAATATCGATAAATATGCATGATTCATTTTAAGTTTCCAAGCATAAAAGTTTTCTTTTGTTTGTTTTATAAATGATGAATGCATTGCTTTTATTTTGTTTCTATTTCTTCTTCATTTAAAATAATGTGCAGCAATACACGTGCATTTAAGTAAGCATTACAAGTAAGAAACGTGCAAATGACTTACCTGAGTGAAGATCAAGTTTTGATTAAATTGGAATAGTTTTTTTTCCAATCAGTCAATAGATTTGATCGATTTCATAATAATTTTCGTTTCTTAGTCATGCAGAAGAAAAAGAGTCGATCGTTTTCAGAGGATTAAAACGTATGCGACATGTTTGCCAATATAGATGCAACAAAAAGCCTCAAATATTATAAAAAAATCTGATACTCTCTAAATATGACAAAATTTCAACGACATTTATGTAATTTATGTAATAGGTTGGAAATAATATTTTGCCAGGGGGATAACCGCCATAAATTCAAATAGGGTAAAGAATGAATTTTATACCAAATAAAAACTCATCAAAAACGGGATTTATTGGTACTAAATGATAAGAGTTATCGAAACTTTTTAATATCGAACTTAGAGGGCATGGTGAATTCTGCTTTCCTGGAAATTCAAAATTGGCTACACCTAAAGTGCAGAAGATTGGGTTGGGTTGGGTCGGGTCAAGTAAGAATATATATATGTGGGTGTGAGTGTGAGTGTCGATGAATCTATTATACGCCCACCCACACCCACTCACACCCACACGCACACCACCCTCATCCAGATGCACACCCACACCCACACGCATACCACCCTCACTCTCACCCACACCTTTTATGTATACATATAGATATATATTCTTATTTGACTTGACTTGACCCAACCCAATTCTAACTTAGACTTCAACTTCATTTCAATATTCTTTTTTTAATTAGAAAAGTTTTCTATGATTATCCTTAAAAGCATTCGATTAAATTTACATGAAATTTCTCCTATAGTCACTTTATTTGAATTCCCTGGAAAGCGGAATTTACCATCGCCTGCGAACTTAAGAGATTTTCAGAAATTTTATACTGTTTTTGGCATAGAAAATTAAGGCGTTCTTAATTAAAAATTGGAGTGAAACTTTTTCTTCGATGTTTTTACATAGTTCGATAGAGGGTGTGGGTGTGGGTGTAGGTGTCGATGTGAGTGTGGCTGTGTGAGTGTGGATAGGGTGTAAGGGTGTGAGCCTCAGGTATTTCAAGAAAGCATCAACATGAGCATCCTTACCAACAGCCACGTCCACAGTGATACTCACTGCCATAGCCACATCCACCCCCCACACACCAACACCCACACCCTACATGTTGAAATGATTGATGAAAAAAAGGTTACTCAGACCATGCAATCAGAAGCTCCGATGTTCATGTCAAAATATCTACTGGAAGATAAATCTGAAATATTAATTTGATTCTGTTTCACTATTACAGAGAGCGGATTGCAGGGCATTCCAACGGTCCGTCGAGTAAAAAAACTTGAGTAGCCCTTGAACAATGCACTTGATGCACCTTAATGTTTTATTCAATATGTTTTCAGACGAAATGCTTATGCCGATGAAGGTTAGCAGTACAATGCGTAGCTCTATTGATAATCAAATTCGAGTCATCGTCGATTATAAAATGAAAACTGTAAGTCGAATGTGGCACAGAAAAACTAGATGAACATATTGCATTACAGATACATTTCAACCCTTTTGTAAAACGTACCGGAGAATATCGGTCACATTCTAGAAGATCTACAGTAATAATAGAAGAAAAAGTTGATGAAGTTCATAATACGTGTAAAAATGTAATGAAATCAAGTGTTTAGGCTTTTGCAAGCATTTGTTCAACACCATAAACAAAAGTATACTGATTTCTTAGTAGAAAAATATAAATATTTCAGTAGAATGAAGCCTCTCGTTCTTTTTTTTTCTATGATAACACATGCAAGACGATGTGTATAAAACTGTTCTAAAACATCTGGCCGAATTAATAATCAAGAATGGACAAGAAAAAATAAAATAATTTCAAAAGAAACTCAATTTAATGTGTGTTTTCAAATATTTTTAAAACAGTTGACCTAGGTATTTTAATTCAAGATGATCATTTAGAACATTGATTGCAGATAAAGTTATATGAAATAAAACTGAGACTCCTCGAATGAAATGACAAAAAGTTTAGAAAAGTCGTTTGAATTGTTCAAGAGCTGTTCATGTTTTTTCATCCGACAGGTTCTTGAGACACTCTGTATAGCGAAATGCCATACAGAACCGCTCTTCTTGACTAACTGAAATTCAATAAATACAGTTTCGATAAAAAAAAAATACCATTCTTTTGGTATACAATGTTAACCAGATAACACTTTTTTTGTCTACTACGTACTAGTAAGAATAAGAAAATACTGTCTACTTGTATGAAGAACAGGCTTCGAGCGCAGGACAAATTCGTATTTTTTCAAGGCGTATGAACATTTCTAACGTTTGTATAGTAGTAATAGCAACATCTTTAGTAGCCTGAATACAGAAGCAATCGTGCAATGAGTTCATCTAATGACTCTTCTTCCTTCTCCTCGTCGAATCGATTGAGTAATTTCTTTTTGCGTGTGCTCAGTTTCAGACCATTTTTCTTAGCCAATTGTCGAATAAGTCGGCATCGCTTGACGAATGCTTCTTGAAGGGAGATTGTACGAGTCCCATCACGCATTATATCGAGGCACCCGCACGAGAGATGGCGATGTATTGGACATTGAATAAAAAATTTCATTTCATCGCGTGTCAATCCCAAGTGATGGTTGAATTCGTGTTCATCGAGTATGCCTAAATTCCAGGCTTCGATGCAACATGCGGACGAATCATCTGAATGGAATTCTACCTGTTCACCAGAAGTTCCATGCAAACTCTTGTACTTGCCGGCGAATTCCATGAATCGACTCATACTATGCCTCTGTGTGTATGGTCCTTCATAATAGAATTTGCCCACTTCACGCATGATCCATATACGACGATTATCTATTGACCACAACTTATTATAATGTTCGTACACACGAATTGGTGGCAGTTCTTCGATAGGCATCAAACCAAATTTGAGGGCAAAGTACGTGTCGAAAACATCCATACTTTGACTACTGTTTGAGAAACGTGAATGTATGTGTGTTTGTGTAAAATTTATACGAGAAATTTCGTCGATTTCTAGTTCACGAGGTGGATCATTGAGTAGTAAAGCGAGACGCTTAGCACGACGTTTTTGAGCAGCTGACATTTCGAAGATGTTTGGTTTCGTCTTTCTCTTCTAATATAGTAACGTAGAGGTGAGCACTGGGTTTTTTCCCACTGTGCTGAACTGACAGAGTTTGCACATGTGATATTTATGAA